GGCACTCAGAACAAGAATCACTGTCCTCCATAGTAGTAATCATCAGAGGAGTGCTTCCTCTTCTTGTGCTTGTCCATCCCCAAGAAGTAAAGTTCACTGTCCTTTAACCTCTTCTTGGAAGAATTCCTGACCTGAGCAGTGATTTCTTCCTCTTCCGTTAAAAAATCTTTGTAAGAACGTTTCTTTTCTTCTTTGCTTTGGCCAGCAGCTAACCCTATGTCCTCAAAGCTGTGATCACCACCAAACCAATCTTCACGAGACTCGCCCAGATCCTGCCTCAGTGCGCTGACTGCCGCCATCTTGGAGAAGGAGCGAAAAGTGCAAGCGGCCAGGGAGCCTCAGTCGAGCCCAGAGCGCAGACCTTGAAATAATTTCTATCCTCTTAAATTTGTTGAGGCTTGTTTTGTGTCCTCGTATGTGGTGTATCCTAAGGAATGTTTCATGTGTATTCTGAAATACACATGCTTGAAAAGAATGTGTATTCTGGGGTTTTTTTGCATATAATGTCCTGAAAATATCAATTAAGTCTACCTGTTCTATTGTATCATTTAGTATCTCTGTTGCCTTGTTGATTTTCTATTTGGAAGATCTGTCCATTGATGTCAGTGGGGTGTTAAAGTTTCCTACTGTTATTGTATTCCCAGCAATTTCTCTCTCTGTTAGTATTTGTTTTATGTATTTAGGTGATCATATTGGTTGCATATATATTGAGTGTAATATCCTCTTCTTGTATTGATGCTTTTATCATTATATAATGTTCTTCTTTATCTTTCTTTGTGGCCTTTGTCTTAAAGTCTATTTTGTCTGATATGAGTATTCCTACCCTGTTCTTGTCATTTCCATTTGCATGAATATCTTTTTCTATCCCTTTTTTTTTTTTTTTGGCTGTGTCAGGTCTTTGTTGCTGCGTGCAGGCTTTCTCTAGTTGTGGCAGGTGGGGGCTACTCTTTGTTGTGGTGCATGGGCTTCTCATTACAGTGGCTCCTCTTGTTGCGGAGCACGGGCTCTAGGCACGCGGGCTTCAGTAGTTGTGGCACATGGGCTTAGTAGTTGTGGTGCACGGGTTTAGTTGCTCCGCGACATGCGGGATCTTCCCGGACCAGGGATCGAACCCATATCCCCTGCATTGACAGGCGGATTCTTTTTTTTTTTGACAGGCGGATTCTTAACCACTGCCTCACCAGGGAAGTCCCTATCCCCTCACTTTCAATCTATGTATGTCCTTCGCTCTAAAGTGGGCAGTATATTGGAGGTTCTTGTTGTTTTTAATCCAATCTGCCACTCTGTCGTTTGATTTGAGCATTTAGTTCATGGACATTTAAGGTAAATCTTGATAGATAGGGATTTATTCCAATTTTAAACCTTGTTTTCCAGTTGATTTTGTATTTCTTCTCTGTTTCTTTTTCTTTCTACTTTTTTGGTTTGATGGGTTTTTAAAAATTATGCACGAGTTCTTTTTGGTTTTTGTGAATCTGTTGTGTTTTTGATTTGTGGTTTCCCTGGTTTTCAAGTACATTAACCCATTACTATATACCTGCTTTAGACTCATAGTCATATAAGTTCAAACACATTCTTAAAAAAAAAGAAATCTGTGTTTTCTTACTCCCCTCCCCCACATTTTATGATTTTGATGGCCTCTTTTACATCTTCATGTTTATCTGTTTATAGTTATAATTGCTTTCACAAAAAACATTTATCTTATTTAAATGATTTACTTTCCAATTGTGATTCTCTTTCCTTTAGATTCTTGCTTTTTTTCTATTTAGAGAAGACCTTTCAATATTTCTTGTAGCATAGGTTTAGTATTGCTGTCTTCTTTTAGTTTTTGCTTGTCTGGGAAATTGTTATCTCTCCTTCTGTTTTAAACAATAATCCCACTGGGTAGAGTATCCTAGGTTGCACGTTTTTCCCTTTCAAGACTTTGAATATATCTTGCCATTCCCTTCTGGCCTGCAGCATTTCTGTAGAAAAATCAGCTGATAGCCTTACAGGAGTTCCCTTGTAATCAACTTTTTTTCTCTTTCTATCTCTAGAATTCTCTCTTTATCTTTAACTTTTGCTGTTTTAATTATAATATGTCTTGGTGTAGGTCTGTTTGGGTTCATCTTGTTGGGACCATCTGTGCTTCCTGTACCTGGATATCTGTTTCCTTCTTTAGGTTTGGGAAGTTTTCAGCCATAATTTCTTCAAATACATTTTTGATCACCTTTTCTCTTTCTTCTCTTTCTGGGATCCCTATTATGCATAGATTGCCATGCTTTAAGTTATTCCATAGGTCTCATATATTGTTTTCATGTATCTTTTTGTCTTTTGTTCTGATTGGGTGATTTTCTTTATTCTGTCTTCCAGATCACTTATTTGTTTTTTGCATTATTCAGTTTGCTATTTATTGCCTTTAGTTCAGCTTTCTTCTTGGCAAATGAGTTTTCTAATTTTAATTGGCTCCTCTTTATAGTTGCTATGTCATTTTTACAGATATCTGCATTTCTCTTGGTATCCTTTCTTAATTCCTTCAGTATTTTTATTACCTCCTTTTTGAACTCAGGGTCTAGTAGACTGGCAAGGGCTATTTCATTGTTTGTTCTTTCAGGGGAAGTCTCTTGATCTTTTAGTTGCAAGTGGTTTCTCTGTTTCTTCATTTTATTTATATTTCTCTGACTATGAGTTTAGGAAAAACAGTTATCTACTGTGGTCTTGAAAGACTGTTTTTATGTGGGAGCATCCCTGTGTAGCCTGCGTGAGTCTAATATTTTTGGTGCAAGGGCTGTTTTTAGTATGGATGCCTGCTACTTCTTTTTCTCAGTGTGTGCTGGCTGTTATCCCCTTGAGAGGGGATGTGATTGTTGTGGCGGTAACCAGAGCCTGCACTGGATCATGAACGGGACCTCATGTTTGCTCTGTGGTTGTCACAGCCCTGTCAGGGGCAGGGTCTGCTCCCCAGTTGTTGGAGTAGAAGCCCCCATATTCGATTCTAACCTACATTGTGAGGTAGGTGGGACTGGATTGCTCCTGCTGGGATAGGAGCCGCTGAGTATTCCTCCTCAGGAGCTGTCCACCAGGAAATGCACTCTGTGGTGTCACCTGTGTGAGCTCGCAAAGTACAGTGTTGTTGGCACTGCCCTCAGCCTTGGGAATGCAGGTAATTGGCCAGGATGTCCCTCAGGTGCTGTGCTCACAAAGCCGCCAGCACAGAGCCACTGAAGACCAGCACGGGGACCCACCCATGGGAGCTATGGAATCAGCCCAGACCCCAGCCCCACCTCCGCATGCAGGTGCCCACAAAGCCCACCAGTGCTAACACCGGACCTGCTCCAGTGCCAGTAATATGCTCCAGTGTCCCACAGGCACTACACCTTCAGAGCCCCAGCAGCATAAATCCACACAGCTGCTGGGACACGGCTCAGATTTCAGCCCTGCTTCTGAAGTCTCCAGCACTGAGGATCTGCTTAGATTTTAGCCTCGTCTCTGCATGTGGGCACTTGCGCACTCCCAGACCTCCTAGAAGTGGAGCCGCACCTGCTGTGAGCACACTGAGAATGAGGCTGCTATGGCGGGGCCCCCCCCCTCACTGTGTGTGTGTGTGTGTGTGTGTGTGTGTGTGTGTGTGTATTAACAATGGGGCTTTTATGGCAGATCTGGGCTGCACCCTACACACACCCTGTTGTGGCCCAGATCACACTTCAGTCCCTTTGGGCAGTCTCTGCACAGCCAACCCCAGTCCTCTCCCCCAGTTTGTTCGCTGCAGCCCGTGTTTCAGCACCCAGCCCCTGTGCCATGGGTTGTTTGTTTTTTTGATGTTGAGTTATAGGAGCTGTTTATACATGTTGGATATTAACCGCTTATCGGTCATATCATTTGCAAATATTTTCTCGCATTTGGTAGGTTGTCTTTTCGTTTCATCAATGGTTTCCTTTGCTGTGCAAAAGCTTTTAAGTTTAATTAGGTCCCATTTGTTTGTTTTTGCTTTTATTTCCTTTGTTTTAGGAGACAGATTCAAAAAAATGTTGCTACAATTTATGTCAGAGTGTTCTGCCTATGTTTTCCTTTAGGAGTTTTATGGTATCTGGTATTACATTTAGTTCTTTAATCCATTTTGAGTTTAGTTTTGTATATGGTGTTAGAGAATGTTCTAATTTCATTCTTTTACATGTAGCTGTCTGGTTTTCCCAGCACACTTACTGAAGGGACTGTCTTTTCTCCATTGTATATTCTTACCTCCTTTGTCATAGATTAATTGACCATAGTGGGTGGGTTTATTTCTGGGCTGTCCATTCTGTTCCATTTCTGTTCCATCCACAGAAAATTACTGTGTGTAATTACACATAGTAATTTTCTGTGAATTGATAGTTTATGTAATTTGCCTATAAGTTTTTTAGAGGCTGTTTGTCATTTTCTTATTGATTTGTGAATCCTTTTTGTAAATTAGATATATTAACCCTATACTACAAAGTTTTTTCAATCTCTTATTGGCTTGTGGAGTCTTTCATGAAATAGAAGTTATTTAAAATAAGCATTATCTTTTAAACTTCCAAAACAGATTTGAATTCTCCTTATTTAAGTAACACAGAATGTGTGTAGTATCAGTTTTTGTTTTACCCTATCATGTTTTATTAATTTAGAACTTTTGAGAGTAAGAAAACGATGGGATTTTCTACTTTCTATTCTGGTGTGTGTGTGTGTGTGTGTGTGTGTGTGTTGGTGGGGACTGTGGCAAGAGAATTTCCAGGAAAGTTTATCCCATTCTCTACATTTGCTTTATCGCTCCTGACATCTTTATCCAAGTTTTTATTGAGGGTATACTACACACTTAAAACTTAGATAAATATATGAATTTATTAATTTAAAAATATCAAATCCTGGAAAATAATTTTATCTACCGAAAAATTTTTTCTTTTGAATTTACCTCCTTTCTGTGATTGATTTTGTGATATCTATATGTTTATATATAATTCAGAGCTAGAACTTTGCTCCCATCTAACTCTGTGTATCCTTTACTGCAGTGAGTGATGGATTGGAACTGAGACCGAAATATAAAGGAGTTTTGCATTGCTTGACCACCATTTGGAAACTTGATGGACTACGGGGACTTTACCAAGGAGTAACCCCAAATGTGTGGGGTGCAGGCTTATCCTGGGGACTCTACTTTTTCTTGTGAGTAGGTCTGGGAGATTTTACAGTAGTAAATAAAAAGGAATTTATGTTTTTAATGATTTTTTTAAAAAATCAGTTGGTGAAGGAAGCAAGGTGAGTCATTTAATCAGTTTCTCTGCATTGGAAGGGCTAGAAAGAGCAAAATGGCATATTAGTCTCATTCTCTGTAAGCTATTATCAGAGGCATTTAGTCTGGAAAAAAGTTATTAATAATAAGAAGAAAAAAGTTATTAATCATAAGAAGAAGGTAAAAGGATGAGATGGAGAAACACTCTTCCAGAAGCCATTTCTGTGAGATGGATTCAGGAAGGTGGCTTCCCAAAATACATTGATTCATAATGAAGTTGGAAAAGCAGAAGAGGACAGATCTTGGAGTCCTCATAAGAACATGTATCACAGGATAGCCCTATGGGAACAGAAAGCCAGTGCATGACTGAAAGAGTCTGAGGCATGTTCTTTCTTACCTCCTATTTGACCTGCTCCTTCATCTTTGTAGCTCATTCATTTCCTCACTCCTTCACTGTCAGGTATCATCACCGTTTGTAATCACTGCTATTGGATGCTTACTGAAGAAGCCACAGAAAGCACCTGTGGCAGCCATATTCAAGTTGTTGAGTGTACAAGGGCATGGAAACAAAGTATTATCACACCACAGTGGAGGAGTGCGTGCTGCTCTGAGCTTGCCTCTGATATCTGAAACTGAATCCATGAATGGGGAGGCTTTTGTTTTAATACATGGCATTTTTAGGAAAACATCAATACCTGGTATATTTGCCTTCTTCTCTTTTGTGTCTTACATTTTACTTGATCTGTCATAATCTTATGGCAGTATACAAACCAACCTTAGAATAGCTCCTAAGTGAAATCAAAATATAAGTCAGCCTTAATATTGTTTAAATATTTTTCCTATTTTCAGTTGTAAGACATTCCTAGATGGGTGAAACCGTATGTATAAAATTTATTATGTTAATAATTTCAGAGCTGTGTGGGTTATTTAAAGAGAGTTTCTAAGGGCAAGCCATGTAAGGTTTATGTGTTGAAATTATCATAAAACAGTATACTTGTTTTATGATAGAATGGATTGGTCAAGTTTGGAAAGATTTATTTAGTTGAAGTCTTCTTCCTGGAGGAAAGTGGAAATTGGAGTTTGACAAAAAAGGTGATTTAACTCCCTTACTCAGAAGCATTTTGTGGCTGTTTTCTGCCAAGTAAAGCGTAAATGTCAGTGTGCCACTCAAGTGTAGCTCAGTTTGCCCTGTCTTCCCATCCATCCCTATAACTTTTGCTCATGCTTGTGTTTCCCTATTGAAACTGTACCTGTCTCTCCATACCTGGCTCAGTGTTGCCTCCTACACAAAGCCTTCTCTGATCTCAGTAATAGTTCCTGAATCTCTCATGATACTGTTTGTGTTATCTTTTGTTATGATTTCTTGTGTGCCACTGTGGTCCTTGTTAATCTGTTAGGTGGGAACCATGGAGTGTTTTATGTATCAGAATTGCCAACCACAGTATCTGAACGTAATAGTTAGCTGCCCTTTTTTTGTCTGCCCAATTGCTGCACCAGTACACCCTCCCCCTTCCAGTTTTCCTGTTTGCTGTTTTTATTAATGGTTGAACATGTGATGAAAATATTTTACATATGTATTGCCAGCCTACATATTTGGGGGGAGAGATGGTATAGTTTTACAGTAAACCATTTCTAGTAAATCCATTATTTGAAAAAGGTCTTGTTTTGTAGTTGGCTTACGCATTGACTTCTACTTTTGAGGTATTTTTAAGTTACCCACACTTTAAAATAGAATTTACTGCTTTATGTCACCCATTCAAATATTTATACAACTGTTCATGTTTAATTCTTCTAGTTACAATGCCATCAAATCATATAAGACAGAAGGAAGAGCAGAAAGGTTAGAGGCAACAGAATATCTCATCTCAGCTGCTGAAGCTGGTAAGGTAGTGTGTGAAATATAAAACATCAACTTCCAACTTGATTTTCACTCTTGTTCTTTTATTTTTTTTCCTATGAACACCTGAGTTTAAATATGCTCATCTAACTATACTAATCAGTTATCACATGAAATTTCTTAGAAGGCAAGTATTCTGATGGATTACTCTGGATAGATTTCAAGAATTTTACTTGTCTCAAAGGGTATAATATTTAGAAAGGTTACGACTCTCTAATGATTTAAGATGATTTGGTATAGTGTTTCTTCCATTAAAATATGATTTCAGTTTTCAAATTAAACAATTTAATAGTCTTGTTTAATTGCCTCATGTATGTGTAATATTCAGAAGGAAAAACAAAGTAGGACTCATAAGTCTTTTAACTCCTACTTTGATACCTTGTTACCGTGGTGGTTTTTTTTTTTTCTTTTTGGCCGTGCTGCACGGCTTGTGGGATTAGTTTCCCAAACAGAGATTGAACCCAGGTCCTCGGCAGAGAAAGTGCTGAATCCACTGGACTGCCAGGGAATTCCTCACCTTGGTTTCTTAATGTTTACTGATTGTTTTTTAAGGCAAGAATTATCTTGCTCATTTTGAATACCTAGCTGCTAGCAGAGACCTGACTCACAATAGGACTCCATAAATACTTGTTGAATAAAGGACTACTTAGGAAACTTGGCAAATGAGAAACTTAACCATTTGAATTTTTTTTAACAATATCATCACTCTCTGTAAAGAATGTAAATATTTCTTTTGATATTACATAGTTATTTAATTTTTGAGGTGTTGTGGCTACTTTGAGTGGGTTTGAGGAAGAGTGTGATAAAGTTGGGGTGGGTATACATGTGCACATGCACAGATGATTGAGGTGCTGGATTGCTGGTCCTTTTCCCCTAATCTTCAGCCCCTCTGGGTTGTACTGTGTCCTCCTCCTAAGGATATGTATCACCTTATCAGCATCTGCTTCCCAGGACCTCGGTCTGTCCTCCACACTAGGCCACTTTGTTTAGGAGCCAGGGCATCTTTGCTACCCTCACACCTCAAAGGGAAAGTGTTTCACATTTTCATCACCTTTTAAATTTATTTCTCACTAACCACATGGGGAACTTTTTAAGACCACCAAAAACTATATCTACCCATTAACCTTAGGTCTGTGCCTCAGGGACCACACCTTGCTGTTGCAGGTACAGCCCCATTCTTTATATAAATGGACTGTTCTTAATTCAGCTTGTCAGAAGTGAGAAAGTACCTGTATGCTGAGTAATATTATTTAAATCTTTCAGGAGCCATGACCCTCTGCATTACCAACCCATTATGGGTAACAAAAACTCGCCTTATGTTACAGTACGATGGTGTTGTTAATGCCTCACAGCGGCAATATAAAGGAATGCTTGATACACTTTTGAAAATATATAAGTATGAAGGTGTGCGTGGATTGTATAAGGTAATGAATTATTATCAATATATTTTAATATCTGACAATTGTAATTTCCCTTGGCTCTATTGTCTGAGTTTGGAATGACCTGTACTCAGTCCTGAAAAGAAACCAGACTTAGGCAAGGAACAATTTAATGACAACTGAAATCTGTATTGAAATTGTACTTTAAACTGTTTATCCTCATTACCATAAGAAGTATCATCGTGACACTGGTGGGTGTGAGAAGGACTGTCTAAAATAAAACTTTATTGAGTAACCATTTCTCTAAGTCGCACATTGAGGTCACTCATTCCTTACTCCCCTCCCCAGAAGCTGTGGTCCCTTGGAAACTCTAAAGGAATGCTTGATACACTTTTGAAAATATATAAGTATGAAGGTGTGCGTGGATTGTATAAGGGGTTTATTCCTGGGCTGTTTGGAACATCACATGGTGCCCTTCAGTTTATGGCATATGAATTGTTGAAATTGAAATACAACCAACATACCAATAGATTACCAGAAGCACAGTTGGTAAGGTGATACTTGAAAAAACACTGGTATTTATTTTTATGGGCATTTAATAGATGGAAATTTTGTCACGTTTACTTTGGTAGTATTGCTATGATGATAAGTACCGATTCTGCCACTAATTTAATTTATAGTTAAATACGTTACAGGATAGTGGCACACAACTGTAAAAAATAGAACCCCATTGAACGACCTTGTTTCAAGAGGGGAAACAGTATTTTTCACTTGTGGATCCACTTCAGTGTTGGTTTCCCTATGTAAATTTTACTTATATATTTTTAAAGAAACCCTACCTAAAGAAAAACAAATGTTTTCTGTTGTCATTTTAGAGCACGGTAGAATATATATCAGTTGCAGCATTATCCAAAATATTTGCTGTGGCAGCAACATACCCATACCAAGTTGTAAGAGCTCGTCTGCAGGATCAACACATGTTTTACAATGGTGTATTGGATGTAATCACAAAGACATGGAGGTAAGAGTATGTGGTATATCAAAATGGCTCTTAAGAGGTACCTTGTAAATCTTAAACCATCCAGTTGACATCATTAGTTTTATAGCAAAGACCAGTGCCTGTGGTGAAAACATGACTGATGGACCCTTCCTCCCCATATCCCATTTACTCCATAGAAAACCATGAGCCTCGACTTCTTCATTTATAAAATTTGAATATCTAGGTTGACAGAGTTGTTTATAAAAATCAAACGAGATGTGTGAAAGTACCTTGACAAATTAATTAAAATTTAGGTATTATAGAATATTTGAATGGCATTGAACATAGGAAGTCATAAAAAACCTAGTTTAATAGAATTAAGAAGGCCCCAAGGTGGGGCGGAGTCAAGATGGCAGACTAGGAGGACATGGAGTTCGTGACTCCTCACAACTAGGACACCTACCAGGCACAGACACCTAAGGAGATGAGAGGAGCCCCCGAGCAACCAGACCCCAGGGAATATTAACCAGGGTGAGGTCTCCCAGAGGTCCTCATCTTGGCACCAAGACCCAGCTCTACCCAACTGCCTGCAAACTCCAGTGCTAGACACCTCAGGCCAAACAATCAGTAAGGCAGGAAGCACAACCCCACCCATCAAAAAAGGCAAGACAAAAAAAAATGTTACGGACGAAGGAGCAAAGTAAAAACCTACAAGACCAAGTAAATGAAGAGGAAATAGGCGACCTACCTGAAAAAGAATTCAGAGTAATGAGAGTAAAGATATCCAAAATCTCTGAAATAGAATGGAGAAAGTACAAGAAATGTTTAACAAAGACCTAGAAGAACTAAAGGACAAACAAACAGTGATGAACAACACAATAACTGAAATGAAAAATACACTAGAAGGAATCAGTAGCAGAACAACTGAGACAGAAGAGCAAATAAGTGAGTTGGAAGGTAGAATGGTGGAAATAACTGCCAAGGAGCAGAATAAAGAAAAAAGAATGAAAAGAAATGAAGACAACCTAAGAGACCTCTGGGAGAACATTAAATGCACCAACATTCGCATTATAGAGGTCCCAGAAGGAGAAGGGGAGAGAAAGGACCCGAGAAAATATTTGAAGTGATTATAGTAGAAAACTTCCCTAACGTAGGAAAGGAAATAGCCACCCAAGTCCAGGAAGCACAGAGAGTCCCAGGCAGCATAACCCAAAGAGAAACACGCCAAGACACATAGTAATCAAACTAACAAAAATTAAATTCAAAGAACTAATATTAAAAGCAGCAGAGGAAAAGCAACAAATAACATAGAAGGGAATCCCTGTAAGGTTATCAGCAGACTTTTCAGCAGAAGTTCTGCAGGATACATTTAAAGTGATGAAAGGGAAAAACCTACAACCCAGCAAGGATCTCATTCAGCTTCGATGGAGAAATCAAAAGCTTTACAGACAAAAGCTAAGAGAATTCACCACCACCAAACCAGCTTTACAACAAATGCTAAAGGAGCTTCTCTAGGCAGGAAACACAAAAGAAGAAGCAGACCCACAAAAACAAACCCAAATCAATTAAGAGAATGGTGATAGGAACATACATATCAAAAATCACCTTGAATGTAAATGAATTAAATGCTCCAACCAAAAGACACAAACTGGCTGAGTGGATACAAAAAGGAGACCCATATATATGCTGTTTACAAGAGACCCACTTGAGACCTAGGGACACATACAGACTGAAAGGGAGGGGATGGAAAAAATATTCCGTGCAAATGGAAATCACTGGAGTAGCAATACTAATTTCAGATAAAATACACTTTAAAATAAAGACTCTTATAAGAGATAAGGGAGGGCACTACATAATGATCAAGGGATTAACCCAAGAAGAAAATATAACAATTATATATGCACCCAACATAGGAGCACCTCAATACATAAGGCAAATACTAACAGCCATAAAATGAGAAATCGACAATGACACAATAATACTGGGAGACTTTAACACCCCATTTACACTAATAGATCATCCAGACTGAAAATAAATAAGGAAACACAAGCTTTAAATGACAGGATAGACCAGATAGACTTAATTGATATTTCTAGGACATTCCATCTGAAAGCAGACGAATACACTTTCTTCTCAAGTGCACATGGAACACACTCCAGGATAGATCACATCTCATGTCACAAATCAAGCCTCGGAAGATCAAGCCTCGGAAAATTTAAGAAAATTGAAGTTGTATCAAGCATCTTTTCCAACCACAATGCTATGAGATTAGATTATAGGAAAAAAACTGTAATTATAGGAAAAAAACTGTAAAAAACACAAACACATGGAGGCTGAACAGTGCGCTGCTAAATAACCAAGAGATCACTGAAGAAATCAAAGAGGAAATTTAAAAATACCTAGAAACAAATGACAACGAAAACACGACGACCCAAAACCTGTGGGACACAGCAAATGCAGTTCTAAGAGGGAAGTTTATAGCAATTCAGTCTCACCTCAAGAAACAAGAAAAATCTCAATCTAACCTTATGCCCAAAGCAACTAGAAAAAGAAGAACAAAGAAAACCCAGTTAGTAGAAGGAAAGAAATCATAAAGATCAGAGCAGAAACAAATGAAATAGGAATGTAGCAAACCATAGCAAAGATCAATAAAACTAAAAGTTGGTTCTTTGAGAAGATACACAAAATTGATAAACCTTTAGCCAGACTCATCAAGAAAAAAAGGGAGAGGACTCAAACCAATAAAATTAGAAATGAAAAAGGAGAAGTTACAACAGACACCACAGAAATACAAACGATCATAAGAAACTATTACAAGCAATCTCTCTGCCAATAAAATGGACAACCTGGAAGAAATGGACAAATTCTTGGAAAGGTACAAGGATCAATCACAAGTAATGAAATTGAAACTGTGATTAAAAATCTTCCAACAAACAAAAGCCCAGGACCAGATGGCTTCACAGGCAAATTCTATCAAACATTTAGAGAAGAGCTAACACCTATCCTTCTCAAACTCTTCCAAAAAACTGCAGAGGGAGAAACACTCCCAAACTCGTTCAATGAGGCCACCATCACCCTGATCCCAAAACCAGAGAAAGATGTCACAAAGAAAGAAAATTACAGACCGGTATCACTGATGAACATAGATGCAGAAATCCTCAACAAAATACTAGCAATTCAAATCCAACAATACATTAACAGGATCATACACCATGATCAAGTGGGATTTACCCCAGGGATGCAAGGATTTTTCAATATCAGCAAGTCATTGTGATATACCATATTAACAGATTAAAGAGTAGAAACCATATGATCATCTCAAGAGATGCAGAAAAAGCTTCTGACAAAATTCAACACCCATTTATGATTTAAAAACTCTCCAGAAAGTGGGCATGGAGGGAACCTACCTCAACATAATAAAGGCCATATATAACAAACCCACAGCAGACATCATTCCCAATGGTGAAAAACAAAGCATTTCCTCTACAATCAGGAACAGAACAAGGATGTGCACTCTCACCACTATTATTCAACATAGTATTGGAAGTCCTAGCCACGGAATCAGAGAAGAAAAAGAAAAGGAATACAAATTGGAAAAGAAGTGAAATTGTCTTTGTTTGCAGATGACATGATACTATACGTAGATAATCCTAAAGATGCCACCAGAAAACTACTAGAACTAATCAATGAATTTGGTAAGGTTGCAGGATACAAAATTAATGCACAGAAACCTCTTGCATTCCTATACACTAACAACGAAAGATCAGAAAGAGAAATTAAGGAAACAGTCGCATTTACCATTGCAACAAAAAGAATAAAATACCTAGGAATTTACCTACCTAAGGAGACAAAAAGACCTGTACTCAGAAAACTAAGACACTGATGGGCATTTCCCTCTTTTCCCTTATGTTCTCCTCTTACACCAAAATGACTGCTGTTGCTAAAAACACAAACACAACCTGTGAGTGAGAATCTAGTCCAGCATCATCTGTCTCTGGCAACCTGGCCTCCAGCTGCTGCCTGGTTTAGCATCTTTTAATGTAGAAACCCTCTTTTCTGTTCTCAAAATCAGTAAATGCTTTGTTTCAAAAGCTTCTTATATTTCTGCTGCAGGTCAGTGGACCTGGCACAGATTTTCTTACCCTGGCCTCATCGTACTTTCCCTGACTTGAGGAAACATTTGGATAACAACAGGCAGAGAAAGAAAACCCCCAGTGGGATATTTTCTCTTTGAATACAAGACCCTCGGTTGAAGGTTTTTAGATCCTCTTTTCATCCAGAGGAATCCCCTTTACACCTCACATAGCGGGTAACCAAAACTGAAGTGTACCGGCTTGGGGTATCATAGGGAACAGAAGAGCATTGCTTCCAGTACAGGTCACAGACATGGGATCGGAGGAAGGCTTCGTTGTCTGTCGTCTTATGGAAAGAGGATCTTAGCATAAAAGGCTGCCTTGCTGTGGCTGGTGCATGCCCGTGGTCACCTGCATGGTCACCTTTGGGTTCCATAGTTTGGATGCTGAATGAGCCATTAGGAAATGCAGGCATTTCCCACACCAGCTAGAATAGCCACGCGGTACGATCCTGGGTTCCTGCCATCAGGAGGAAGTTACGAGATCTTCCCACTGCTTCCCAAGCCCTCTTCTCTTCTAGGCATTTCTGGAAAGCCTATTAGAAAATCGAAGAGAATCCAAATCCAGCTTCCCTCCCCAACCCTACCCCAAGAGTCAAAGTAGATGGTGTTGTGTGAACATTTATATATACACACATATGTTTGCCCTGGTTTAGTTTCATATATACAAGTACACGTTTATGTATTGTGCCCTAAATAATAATAACAATACTAGTGAAGGTTTTTCCCAAGCTTCTTGTTCCTTGGTTCTGGCTTACATTGGGGACTGTGCCACTGACCTGGCTTAGTGTTCCGGTCAGGGTTTGGGGAGAGCAGAGTAGCCAGGCACCCTGGTGGAGGTGGGGACCGCAGGGGCAAGTGTCTCAGAAAGTGAGCAGTGCACACTCCCAACCCCAGAAAGGTGACTTAGACAAACCAGGTGAGCAGGGCTCTTGCTCAGGAACCCCAGGGGACCGCTTTGCTTTCAGGCCTGTGTTTGCCCCTTCTCCCCACCCCAGGTCTGTTACCACAACTCCCTGGTGTCTCTTGGTGTTTAGTATGTCTAGGACAGTGGAATCCTTAGTCTCTCCAGAAAGGGGCCTCAGCATGGCCTTGAAGGCCTGACCAGTGAATTAAGGGATTCTGCACCCCACTTTTCCTGGTCCGTTAAGCTTGGGGTAGAGGGCGGCAGGCGGGTCCCCAGGCGTGGTACAGAGGCCAGAGCTGTGCCAGAACGGTGCGCCTGTCCACCTCCAGGCTTCCTGCCGTGAAGCCTTGTGTTTGCCTCTGTTTTTAACCTGTGCTGTCGTGAGTTTTGGTGTGTTTCTCTGTGAGTTTTTATTTAATTGCGTAACTTTGTTTTTGCGTAACTTTGTTTTTCCGTTACTGTGAAAGTAAGGTGTTGTACTTTTAATTTTTTTTAACAAATGTTACTGTTCTTATTTAAGAGAATAAATTCCAAACAGTCTTAAAAACAAAAAAAAGACACTAATGAAAGAAATCAAAGATGATACAAACAGATGGGGAGATGTACCATGTTCTTGGATTAGAAGAATCAACATTGTGAAAATGACTATACTACCCAAAGCAATCTACAGATTCAGTGCAATCCCTATCAAACTACCAATGGCATGTTTTTTTCACAGAATTAGAACCAAAAGTTTTACAGTTTGTATAGAAACACAAAAGACCCCTAATAGCCAAAGCAATCTTGAGAAAGAAAAACAGAGCTGGAGCAATCAGGCTCCCTGACTTCAGACTATACTACAAAGCTACAGTAATCAAGACAGTATGGTACTGGCACAAAACCAGAAAGATCAATGGAACAGGATAGAAAGCCCAGAGATAAACCCACGCACCTGTGGTCACCTAATCTATGACAAAGGAGGCAAGAATATACAGTGGAGAAAAGACAGCCTCTTCAGTAAGTGGTGCTGGGAAAACTGGACAGCTACATGTAGAAGAATGAAATTAGAACACTCCTTAACACCATACACAAAAACAAACTCGAAATGGATTAAAGACCTAAATGTAAGGCCAGACATTATAGAACTCTTAGAGGAAAACATAGGAAAAACACTCTGACATAAATCACAGCAAGATCTTTTATGACTCACCACCTAGAGTAATGAAAATAGAAACAAAATAAGCAAATGGGATCTAATGAAACTTAAAACTTTTGCACAGCAAAGGAAACCATAAACAAGACGAAAAGACTAACCCTCAGAATGGGAGAAAATATTTGCCAACGAAACAACTGACAGGATTAGTCTCCAAAATACACAAACAGCTCATGCAGCTCAATATCAAAAGAACAAAAAACCCAATCAAAAAATGGGCAGAAGACCTAAATAGACATTTCACCAAAGGAGACATACAGATGGCCAAGAGGCACATGAAAAGCTGCTCGACATCACTAATTATTAAAACTACAGTGAGGTATCACCTCACACCAGTCAGAATGGCCATCATCAAAAAATCTACAAACAATAAATGCTGGAGAGGGTGTGGAGAAAAGGGAGCCCTCTTGCACTGTTGGTGGGAATGTGAATTGATACAGCCACTGTGAAGAAAAGTCTGGAAGTTCCTTAAAAAACTAAAAATAGAACTACCCTATGACCCAGAAATTGTACTACTGGACATATACCCTGAGAAAACCACAGTGCAAAAAGGCACATGTAACCCAATGTTCATTGTAGCACTATTTGTAAATAGCCAGCTCATGGAAACAACCTAAATGTCCATGGACAGATGAATGGATAAAGAAGATGTGGTACATATATACTATGGAATATTACTCAGCCATTAAATGGAACAAAATTGGGTCATTTGTAGAGATGTGGATGGACCTAGAGTCTGTCATACGGAGTGAAGTAAGTCAGAGAAAAACAGATATCGTATATTAATGCGTGCATGTGGAATCATAGATGAACCTATTTCCAGGGCAGGAATAGAGACACAGATGTAGAGAACGGACGTGTGGACATGTTGGCGGGGGGAAGGGGAGGATGGAATGAATTGGGAAATTAGGTTTGACATAAATACACTACCATGTGTAAAATAGCTAGCTCATGGGACCCTGCTGTATAGCTCACGGAGCTTAGCTCCTTGCTCTGTGTTGACGTAGATGGGTGGCATGGGGGGCGTGGGAGGTCCAAGAGTGAGGGGTATATGTATGCATATAGCTGATTCACTTCATTGCATAGCAGAAACTAACACAACATTGTGAAGCAATTACACTCCAATTTAAAAAAAGAAAAGAAAAAAAGGCCCCACACCTGCTACTGGTAGCAGAACTTTTGCAAACACTTCTTTCCATGTATGGAAGACATGCATGGCTTCAGTGTGGGAATGTTTAAATTGTTATAGGTATACATCCCCACGCTTCTTTTTAATTCTAAAAGGCCAGGACAGAGTATTTAAACATTTAAATTCAGTTCACTTTAGTAAATATATATATTGAGAATGTAAGTGAAAAGTTTCAAGGCTTTATTCCAGTTCTAGGCATTAAGAAAATAAAGTTTTATTTTTGTGTGCTATGTTTAGTGTTGTCTAGCATTTTTATTAGTTATGAGATGTTTAATGCCTACATTAGATCAGCTAATACTCCTAACATGTTCACACATTTAAAGGCATTTGAAAGATGTTTATGATTTTATCTTCAGGCTAGCTCTGTAGGAAATTAAGTATATATGTGTATATATGTATATATATGTATATATCCTTTTTTTCTCTCTCTAAAGGAAAGAAGGCATCGGTGGATTTTACAAAGGAATTGCCCCCAATTTGATTCGAGTGACTCCAGCCTGCTGTATTACCTTTGTGGTATATGAAAATATCTCACATTTTTTACTTGGCCTTAGAGAAAAGAAAAAGTAAACTAAAAGAAGATAATTCCAGTACATCTGCCCAAGGCAGCCGTGTGCTGCTTTGTATTTGAGACATGAAACTCAGAAGAATACCACAATACCACACAGCAACATGGCTCATAATTGAACTCGGTCTATAATCATTAGAAGTCACAGAACTGCTAAGCCTTCACAATGTTTTTCTGCTTTTGCTTTCCCCATACGTATGGGACTTGGCTTCCTCTACCTGAAATGGTTGCCAGCAACACAACAGTAAAACTGACACCACATGGAGAATTTCACAGATTTTTTCCATTTCATTGTCCAAGTAGAAGCTGATTTGCAGCATTTGCTGAATGGATTTGAAGACCGCTCGTTTTTCTGAACTCGTTTGTCTGTATTGGCTTTAAAATCAACCTCTGTGCAATAGCAAAAAAAAAACGGCTTCTTAAAAGATGTCATTGCTGTTTCAAGTGTTTGCTGGGAAAGATGTTGCCCAAATCCTGACCATTTTTGAAACGGGAAAGTTTGGTGGGGAAAAAAATCCACTGTAAATGTGCTTTTGTTTTAATTCATTTGGAATGCAGTTATGTACTTAATTTAAGAAGTACCTGACATCTGTTGTCATTCCATCACTAATTTTTTTCCCCAGAAGCTCTTTCATCATTTAAAATGTAATCCTGGATCACATTATTATTTTTCGGCATAGGTACTTAAGTGTCTTTTTATAAAATCTGAACGAGGATCCAGCTGTGTCAGCCCTTACTTAGCGTATTTGTCTATAAATCACTTTACTGGTGTTGCTAATAGATCACCTTATATAGATACTAGAATGACTGGGGTGTGTTTGTTGACAAACTGCATGGAAATGAGAAGCTTTAGCTTTCTACTTCAGATTTCAGATATGTGGGTCCAGATCCCAAATAAGTCACCAATCTACACTGGTTGCTCAAATTCAGGTTTAAATACAAATTACACTAAAGGCCATTATTGATTTTACTTTTGAGTTATGGTAATTCTTCTATAAATATAAAGGCCTGCCCCAAAAGGGTACCAGAATGATACTAACATTTTTATTTAACGTAAACACCTATGAATGCTTTTTGCAGTACCATCTATTTGTTATAAATAAAATACTGTGGCTCTCAAAGCCATATTTAAATGGTTCTTTGAAAAGAGGTCTATTTTTTTATATTTTGAAAATGGCTTTGTTTTAAAAATATAAGTACCTAATTGTATTTACTGTATCTCGTTACATGCAGAGGAATGCATTATAAATTAAATGTGATGTATTTTCCTCCTTCTGAATAATACTATTATTCATATGAAATCCTGATAGTAGTCCCTGTATGGAAAGACAAGTTACAGTTGACATTTGGAGTTTTAGAGGTAGTGCCATTATTTGAATGCCTCCTGTGTACCCCTAAATTAATAAGCCGTAATTCCTGTCCTCTGAGAGCATACAGGCTTGTGGGATGAATAAGCATTAAATAACTACAGTTCTAGATTAAGAACACGCAAGAAGATTTCTACAAGCCCTGCACGAGTTCTGAAAAGAGAATTCATTCCACTCGATCAACAGCACTCCTTCCTGCTCTGTGCCATGTATGTTACCAAGCATTGAGGATATGGCAGTAAATGAGCTACAAAATATTCCTGCCCTCAGGGAATTTTCATTTTAGTGTGAAGTGACAAAACATAAATATGCATAATATAATTTCAAATATTAAATGCTAGAAGTAAAACTAAGGAGTTGGGAATAGTGTTGCTATGCTAGGTAGGACAGCTGGGGTCAGGAAAGGTCTCTGAGGAGGTGGTATTTGAAACATTTTGACATATGGGAGGAAGCAAGCCACTATGAGATGTTCACAAAAATCAGTCAACCTAAGGAATGGAAACTGTTATTCGAGCCAAATTTGGATATTACAACCCAGGAAGAGCATCTCAGAAAGCTCTGAGAAGTGAAGTAAAGGCACAGTTATAGAAGTTTGTTGAGACAGAAGTCTATACATTTAGATGACGTGTTGCTGACAGTTTACACAATCCAAGCCTAAGCATCATCTTGGCCCCTTACAAGATCAAGAAGGAATACTATCTTTTAAGGAGTTGTCTTTCTGATGCTAGGAGAGTGTTGCTCTCTGGTTGAGCAGGTATTTCTGCCAATGGGGAAGGTTTGGCCGATGCAGAATGCAGATACACAATGCATAATAGTGGAGAGAGAGGCCACCAAAGGGCAGAGAAAAGTAAGTTTTTCTTGTCTTGCCATAAAATATGACCTTTAATGATCAATGGGAGGAAATTGTGAAATAATCTTTCAGTAGAAAGTGTTAGGTGATCAAATATTTTGTCCCTCAAAACCAGGGTGGCTGCTTGCCTGTCCCCTGATGCCTGGTCTTAATGGCCCGATTCTCTCCTTTCGGGGGAGTTGTACTAGCAGGATGTTTGGCAAGGACTGACATTCAATTCTAAGTTGTCCAGTAAGACTTAAGCCAATTTTCCTCACATGTGTGTGGGGTATGTCCATTATTTTATATAGAAGTACAGATGTGATCTATAGTTTCAAGTCATTTAGACATTATCTTAGTATGAGTAGGTGACACAGCATGAAAGGCAGGAAAGTATCAACTTATAAGTTCCACAGACTAAATTGGTAGTAGTAGCAATATCATTAGCAAAGATTTAAGCCAAAATCCTCCTGAACAAACCCATTTTCCTAGTATTTCCCCTAAACTAGGAAGAGGATTGTTCAGAGCAGAAATCTTACACTTCATGGGTCATAAGATGAGTAAACAAATATCATGGCTAAATGGTCATGCCATTTGGAAAACTGATAGTAACCAGAGTACTCACAGATTGAGAGGGGCTGTTTCCACAGTAGCCATAGGTGACCTTGAGCCCAAGGGAAACCAGTTTTTTATCTTCTTAACCAACCTGGGGAGAGCCAAGGTCATAAACTTGTTCAGTAAATCCATTGGGTCCTGTTAGGAGCTACCCAGTATTCAACATCTAATAAAAAAGGAGTATTATGGCCAGGTTCAGAACATGCACCGTTAATTGTCCAGGTAAGAGGGTATCACTTAGTGATATTGGTGGCAATGTTAGCTTGCATGGTGCTAGAGTTTCGTTTGAAATAAAATTTCTAAGAACCATCCAGTTAGAGCTTTGGAGAGGAGAAATCCACCAAGGCAACCTGTGAGTACTGGTAATTGGCCACAAACCCAGCAATTGGATTGATTTTTTTTTTTTTTTTGAAACTTGCATGGGATTGAGCCAAGAAATACATTTGGTTCATTAGCAAAAGTGTGAGCAATTGTCAAAGTAATCAGTATACAGACCTGCTCTGGCATCTTGGGTCAGCTGTCTACTTCTGATGTAATATTCTCATCCTGGTCTGGTAGTGCTGGTCTTAGTCTAAGTCAGGTGTCAGAAGTTGGAGTTGCAGTTCATTCAGTTGTAGAGGTCTGATAAGGTCCCCTCTGAAGTGGCCCAAAAGAGTCCTTTATCTGATGTCTTTTCCAGTATATGCATAACCTGGTTGCAGGTCATGATGCATCTTGATCTTCTTCCAAAGTTAGATTACTGTGATAAACTTCAGAAACTGTGTCTTTTTAATGACTAAACAAGGAGTTATCTGGGAAGTGAGTCTTCGCCAGTAAATACAGACATCAATTAACAAAACTAGAATTCTGTATTCACTGAAACAATCTTTTTCTCTCTAAAAGTACCCTCATTTCTACCAAATATAGCCAAATTAAGACTTATTTGTTTGCAAAATAAGTCTGGGTAATTGACCACATAGACTTTTAAATTGGCTGTGCTGGAACTTTTCATAAAGAATCTCAGATTGAACTTTAAAAACCTCAGGGCTAGGAAACCCATACCAAAGGTATGTCATAGATTCAACCTGTGATATCTATAGATTTGGGTGATGGATTTAGGCGAATTCTTCTCTTCTCGAGGTCCCCAAAATACAGTGAGGTTCCTGTACCTTTTAGGAGGTGGCCTTCCTTACAGGCCTGATAAAGCTGCCGGGAACCTAAGCGTTTCCAAATTCTGGAGGCATCTGGTAGAGAGAAAAGATAAGGTTTCAGTTCTACTTACAGAGGTTTATTTTAAAGGTTTCCTTATATCTGGAAAACAGATTAAAACCCAGTAATATTTCAGACAAAAACCAAAAATTATAACCATAGTCTGTTCACCCACTCCTGTGTGACTAGTCCTTGATCTTAATCTTCTGCTAACAGTTACATGAAGCCATCCAGTTTATTAGAATTCTAGTTTCTTACCCAGTTCAGCAGTATGATGTGAAAATTATCAGAAATCTGTTCACGTCAAAAAGTACTTTCTGTGGATCTTCTTGAAGCATTTTGCAAAAAGAGTACAAGGATAACTGCCTATAAACGTCAAAAGACTTAAAAAAGTCAAGGTTAAAGACCTGATTATAATGCAATTGGAAAACTTGGTTACTGCTGTGACACGACAATTTAAGATAATTACTAAAATTATGACTGCTATAATTTTTAGCAGGACCAACCAGAATTTTAGGAGTTCCATATAATTTCTAGAATATGTATGTTAGTAACATTTACCCATAGGGTACAATCTAAGAAGTTTTATCACCACCTATTTGACAATGCTTCCCATGTAATTTAACATACCAAAGAAGCCTAAGTAGTTTAATATTCCTCTCTCTGAGGTGGAGAGAAAACAAATATTTTGAGGTATTCTAGGGACCCTTTGGAAAACTTCAAAACTAGCTAGTGGTCAAATGAGCTTCATTTAGGATTTTATCTTTGGGAAGTTTGTCAAAAATATCAAGAAGTTTTACAGCACTTGGTCAAATAGAATCACAGGTCACTGTGAAACAATACACATTCACTTAACTAAAGTGACAATAGGAGATCTCGCTGGCAAATACAGATCACTTAAACACAAAGAAACTCACAATCTATTATCAAAAGCAGTTCAATATTTTAAGAAAACTTTGTCCTTTCAGAGAACCAAATTCAGGTTTTGTACCACTTTACTTTT